GAAAGCACAGCTGTGGGTTAAGTAAGGTGTGCCAAAACAGAAATGAAATGGCACTTGATTGAAAAAAGCATTGGCTTTAAACCTTAATGATGTCCCAATTAACCTGCTCATGCTGACAGTCTGGAGAGGAGGAGGGGGGTACAACCCACCCAAACAATTGAAGGGGAAGAAAGATGTTTCCTGCCAACTGAGGAGAGGTTTGCCAGGATGCCGGTATAGATTCCATCTCATGATTGAATGAGCTTCCTACAGGCCGCACTTCAATGCACTAAAAGACCACCAGGCATTTTTAATGCACATTGCTCAGACTCAGCACTTGGATGTTGACTGCGGGCAACACAAATAGCACTTCAGAGTGTCTGCTGCATTACAAAGATACAAATGCCAAGTGTGAGAATCTACGACCTGCTAGTTTGAAACAGACAATGTTTCAAACTAGTGTTTTGTGATAGGAAGTTTATCAGCTTACAGTGCTGTAGACCAAGTAAAACCTCCCATCTATCGTCCTGTATATGTGAAAGTAGTGTTTTAAGACATAAAAATCTATCCAGTTCTCTTCATTACTTGCAGTGTTTACTCTGTTAAAAGTCAAAAAATCTTTTTTTTCAGCCTGCTGTCAGTCATCTGATCTGACACCTACCATCTCACAACTTCATTAAGCATTAGAAGTAATCACATTCAAATTTTCAGACTCATTGCTAATAGTCTTGTTTGCTTTTGGAGGTCATGAAGAGGCATTAATATCAGTTTCAGTCTGCTTCACAGCTAACTAAAAACTCATCATAGTGTCGTTATTTGATTTCTTCATTTTTTTCTTAGCTCAAGTTCGAGACTTACTGAGGGTCTCAATGGTTTATTTTGTTTGAAAACTCATTTAATGAAAAATTATACGTGGATCAGGATAAAGGTCTTCTTTTAATCAAGGGTAAATTACCCCCCAGGCTAGAACAGGCCATGCTGACAGACCTAAAAAAGGTCAAAATTCAGAGAAAAAGTCAAAATTATGAGGAAGTAATTCTAAAATATTTGATAAAAAGTCATAATTTTGGGATAAAAGTTGAATATTTCATTTTTATTTTTACAAATACTCCTTCATTTCCTGAATATTCCATGAACCCCCAATATAACATCACATTAGGATTTAAAATTTGGCAACAGAATAGAGTTTATAATCTGGAGATACACTCGCCTATAAGTAGATTTTGACAACCAGCAACCAGCTTTATGGAGTCAGGGGCCACACTGATGATGGAAACAAAACAGAAATGATCCAAGGCTGGCTGAGTCCCAAGTATCATAAATAGTCTTTAATGTTACATAGCTAACACGGCCAGTTACATCAGGGTGTAAAAAGCGGGTTGACGTCACGACAAAGTGACAGGTATGTCAGAGTGAGTCAAGAGGGGGGAGGAGGATACAGAAATGACACAAGGGATCAGTTAATAAGGTCTTCCATGTGTGTCTTTTTCAATGATGAGATGTGTGAAGATTAAATCCTAACAAATCCTGTTTTAAATGAAGCAGTTTGCCTCTTTATAAGCAGATGCACATAATTAATTAAAGGCAAATCAAAGTGATTTTTTTAAGAGTAGAAACATGAGTTTAAACTCATAAACAATTATAAGTTAATCAGTCACATTCTGTGTTTTCCCCTTTTACTAGCTGATGTAGACAAAAATGGAAAGAAAATTTAGATAGATTACGACAAATTTAAAAACAGAGATAAAAATCTGTCAAATGTTTTTTTCTTTTTATAAATGTCAGTGTCAGTTTTGTAGAAAAAAAAACAGGCTGATACTCTGCAAAGTAATAATAGAAGTGGAACTTACGAGAAGTCATGGAGAAGAAAAAGAAAAGGTGCTGTGTATGAGAAACAGGTGTTCACAGACTGACACCTGTACGGTTAGAAATATAAAAGTGCCTCCACATACAGGTGTGTCCAGCAGCACGTGTGAAAGAAAACATGTGTGTTTAAAAAATTAACACAGGGAAAAAAAACACTAACAGACAGGAGAGATGAATGATGTAAGGATGTGAAATAATCGTTCAGGGTATCTGATGCCTCTCCTCTCCTCTCCTCCTCTCCTCCTCTCCTCCTCTCCTCTCCTCTCCTCTCTGTTTATTGTCGGGTTTCTCCTCAGGCTATCTTAGTCATGGCTGTCTGTGCGTGTGAAGGCGAGTCATCCGAGAGTGGGACAGTGGTTTATTAAAGGAAAACCATTAGCCATCTGTTTTCTCCGTGTTCTCTCTCTCTCTCTCCCTCTCTCTCTCTCTCTCTCACGCACACACAAACACACACAAGGCCACTGCGACTGGCCCATTGTTGCTCTCCTCTGCTTTTATCTCTCATAGAATATACATGATGCTGCCATTACTGCGGGAGAGCGGAGGAGAGAGGAATTAAGAAAAAGACGGATAAAATACTTGGAGGAGAAGCAAGGAGAAAAACAGGAGAGGGGAAATTAGGAGGAAAAGAAAAAAGGAGAAGAGGAGATACCCTCATTAAATGAGTCAGTGTGTGATCAGCTTATCTCAGAGTATATGTGTGTGCAGCAGTGTGTGTTTGACTTTATTTGAGTAGGCTTCGATACCTGTGAACGGACACCTGTATGTTTACAGGTGAGTGACCATGACTATGACTAATACATGTGCACAGTGATGGACTCAGTGAGGGGTTATTGCCCATCCTGATGCTCTTATGTCTGATTCAGCACTGCAAAAGTGCACTCTCCAATGCCTTGATAGTATGTAAAAAATTAATAGAAATGCTCTCAGGTGCCCCACCAGTGGATTATATGCGTTCGTGTTTCCTCTCAGGTGACCCTCCAGTGATCAAAATGTATTACATCCCTTATCAGGCGCCTTCTCATTGAATAAAAGGTAATAACATCTTCTCTTGGGGCCTTTTCACTAGACAAAACGGAATAAACTGCTCCATTATTTCTTCTGGTTATACTACACATGTTTGGTTGGTATCTGTTTTGTCAACGGTTTGACCAGTAAACAAAATTTTACCATTTGCAACTTTCAGTCAAAAATAAAAAATAAAAATAAAGCTGATGTGGAAGTATTAAAATAAATGTGTTTACAGCCAGGTTAAAAAAAACATTTTGGTTTGAAAATATAACACATCTTTTCAGAGATATGAAAGTTACAAATCTGGCAAATAATGCTGCGTCCCAGTTACCTCGGAAGTCGGATGTCGAAGCGGGTCGAGTCAGTGTTTCCAACATGGCTACCCTTACTGATAGGTTTTAAAACTTTGCTTTAGAAGCAAAGTGGTCGGTTTCAGCCGAGCAGCTAAGATAACAACCCTGTTTTGGGAGTTTCTGTGAAAAATATTATCAGTAAATATAACATTTGACTGTCGAGATCAGCAGTATAAGATTTTTTTTTTTTTTACACACTACACGAGCATGTAGATGATAAGATGACAGCAATAACAGCTTTGTCCACTGGGGGGCTCTGAAATGGACACAAACTGAAAGCTCCCCACAACAGAAAAACCGAAGAAAAGCCTGAGTCAGGCCCTGTTATCTGAGTTCCTGTCTTCTTCCTCTTTGTTGTAGTAACTATCAAACATGTTGAACCACTTTGATTTACTAAATCGATGAAAGCAAAATGCTAAAATTATGCGTGTGTCAGACAGAGTGCAAACTAAACAATCACATCTCTCCAAGCTGGGGTGCAATACAGTTCATAAATAGTCCTCTTTCCTCATTCAGCAAAAAAATGAAAAACTTTTCTGTCTGAGAAATTCCTTAATTTCACAAACTCAAACCTATGATCTAGTTTCTGTTTCATTGAAATTAAGAGCTTTTTCTGAACACTTTGGACTTTGTTAGCTTTTGCACTATAGTGATGATGGTCTTCATCACACACACGTTTGCACAAACACTCACGCGCACACAGACACAGATACACACAAACACATCGCGGTGTTGCTGTGTGTGTGTTTGGCGCTGAACACGGGAGACTGTTGCTGTTAAAAAATGCACATCCTGCTCTGTTGCACAAGCTGCTGCTGCATGGCAGACAAAATGGGTCAGTACCCACACACACATGCACAAACACACACACTCACACACGCACATAGAGGTCACATGGGACTTTCGCAGACTTGCATTCATATGTTTTCTCCTAATGCCTCTCACTGTCTCATTCATAAACACACACACACACACAGAGATACACACACACACGAACACACACACACTGATGAGAGCGTTTCCTCTATGGTCGTTTTTGCTCCAGCTGTTCAGGCACTAAGAGCCTGTGGAGATGAAGAGTGTGTGAAAGAGGAGCTGAACGCAGAAAGTGCTGCAAAGAAACAATAGTGTGGGTCATTAGGAGAGGAGAGACAAAAACAAAAAGAGAGGAAGGGCGCTTAGAGGGAGTAGGAGAGTGGAAGGAGAGGAAAGTTTGAAAAAAAAAGGAGAAGAGGATTGGAGAGAGAATGAAATGAAAGAAAAGAGAGGAAAGACAGAGAAAAATGAGGAGCTGAGAAAGAAAAGCGAAGTGGAGGAAGATTGGAGGGAAGTAACATAAGGGGGGATGATGAAGAGAGAGTCAAAAAGGGAGGGTGTAAGGACGAAGAGCAAGATAAGAGAAGTAAAGAAGAAAGATGAGAGTGAAAAGAGGAGAAAAGGGGGAAGAATATGAAGAGAGAAGTAAAAAGGAAAGATGAGAATGAAGAAGAGAAGAAACAACGAAAAGAGAGGGAAGAGGACAAAAGAAAAGGAAAGAGAGGATAAGAATAGGGATGAATAAAAAGAAGAAAAAGACAAGAGGGGAAGAAGAAAGGATAATGAGATAGGAGGAAGGGAGGGGAAAGGAAAGGATTAGAAGACTAAGAGAAAGGAAAGGAAAGGAGGAGACAAGAAATAAGGAAGGAGAAAAAAGAGGAAGAGAGTAAGAGAAGTAGAGAAGAAAGATGAGAGTGAAAAGAGGAGAAAAGGGGAAAGTTTAAGAAGACAGAAGTAAAGAAGAAAGATTAGAATGAAGAAGAGAAGAGAAAAAGAAAAAGAGAGGAAAGAGGACAAAGGAAAAGAAAAGGAAAAAAGGGAGAAGAACAGGGAAGAAATAAAAGAAGAAAAAGACAAGAGGGGGAGAAGAAAGGAAAATGAGATTGAAGAATGGGAGAGGGCAGGAAAGGATAAGAAGACTAAGAGAAAGGAAAGGAAAGAAGGAGCGAAGGAAGGGAGGGGAAAGGAGAAAAAAGAGAAAAGAAAGGAGAGAAGATGGTAGAAGGGGAGGAGAGGAGAAGGGAGGAAGGAAAGAAAAGAGGACAGGAGGCATAAAAGGGAATAGCACAAAATCTGAGAAGAGGTGATGAAAAAGGGCACAGTGAAGAGGATAGGAAAGGAAGCTCAGAAGAAAAAGGACAAGAACAAAAAAAGAGGAAAGATAAGGTGGAAGGAAACAGAAAAGACACATAGAAGGTGAGGTGAAACAAAGTAGGAGGTGAGGAAGAGGATTGTAATGGGAAAGAGAAAAGAACAGAAGTACTGAGGGAGGTGAAAAGAAAACAGGATAAATGGAGGAACTGAGACCACAGAAAAAAAAGAAAAGAGGGAAGAGGAGAGGAGAAAACAAAAGAGGGAGAAAAAGAGAGAGAGAGAAAAGAAGAATCTATTTGTGAATCTGTGTTCAAAGTGTTCACAGCAAACACTGATTATTCACCAAATGAGCCTCTTGATTAACAGAAAGGCCTGATGGCTGTTTCACTGTGTGTGTGTGTGTGTGTGTGTGTGTGTGTGTGTCCACTGTTTAATTAGATCACAAGGATGCCTGCTAATTCTTTAGCACCCTCACAGTGTTTATTAGACCATCAAAAACTAGTGTTGCATCATCTCTGAATAAATGAACACACACAAATACACACACTGTTGTATGGTGATCAAAGTGTGTGCGTTTGTGTGAATGCTTGTGTGTGTGTCTGTATGGGTGTATGACTTGGAGGTCCAAGATGAGAAAACACAACAACTGAAAACACAGTCCTTCTTCCTGAGGACAGAACTATGCAAGGTAAAGCACAAACGCACACACCAGTAAATGTAAATAAACAAAAGAGACAACAGGAACACACTTCATCCTGACATGTTCAGTTGAACAATACACCATTACTTTTGTGTTGCACACACACACACACACACACACATGCACGCACGCACAGGAGCAGCGTGAGAGCCTGAGGTCACTCGTCCTTTCAGCGCCGCTGTCAGAAAACACCACAACAATCTGCTTTCATATCAATCACAAAAATGGATGCTCTCTTGTGTGCCACTCACACATTTGCACACACTTGCTTACACACAGACACACACTTCTTGACTGTATTATCCAGATCTGGAGAGTAAAACTCAGTAAACCCGCTAACAATGAAAGACTGTGCCTCTGCGTTTAGTCTGGTTGAAAGTTTCGATAGAAAACAGCTCTGATGAAACTCTCTGAAACTCTTTGATGTTTTGTAATGCGGGTATTTAGCCCCTGTTTTAAAACATCTATCCACTGGATCTAACACTAATGAAACTCCTCAGGCTGGGGGAAAGTAAGTCACAGGCACAGCTGTATTGTACATTTCATCACTATGAATCCAGTGTCAGAATTTTAAAATGCAGGTCAGTGTGTGTTCACGTTTGTACTGGAGTGAGGGTTTGGGGGTCAGGGAAAAGAGAGTTGAAAATGGGTGATGAGCTCTCTTTATAGCAGGGTGTAAAAAACCCTAAAATATTTACATCCAACCCTTGAATATTTGTAAAATTAGGGTGACCATATTCTGAATCGCCAAAAAGAGGACATGACTACGCAGTGGAGCGTAGTTAATTTTGAGAGTTTTTCGGGTTGGATTGAGCGTTTTTTACTCGCTTCTAACTCAGTAAGTCCATGTGACACAAACTCAAAACTTCCATACAAAACCCCGGACATTTAAAGGATTTTATAAACTCCCCCCAAAAAGAGGACATGTCTGCCTAAAAGAGGATGCATGGTCACCCTAGTAAAATATCTTACTTGAAAAGAGTCTCTCAACCTCATCTCTGTAAACCTAACAATTTGGGGAATCCATCAATTATCCAATTATCCAAATCAGCAAAAATTCAAAGAATATTAAAGGTAAATTGGGTTGAAATGAAATTGAGTGTTATCAATGATGCTCCCATGCTCAACTCTCTCATTGATTAAGTGGTGGTGGCCAAGCAATTTCCAATATCTGGTGATAACTCTCTTATTTAAGCACTTCTAAGTATTGTATTCCATTTCTAACAGGTTCATCATTACGCACTGCACCTTTAATGCTCAGTATGGAGAAGACAAGCAGCCGGGTTAAATCTTCGAGGGACAGTTATCTTGCTCTTAAAATGACATCTCAGCTCTCGTGGCCTTTTTTCCTCTTTCATGTCTGCAGAAAGGACAGAGTCGGTGATGTGACGCCCTGTCCTGAGTGTGAGTGGAGACAGACTGAAAACCCCAATTAAAACCTCAGATTCTCCATTTTTCTTTTGTTTTATTTGATCGCCCCCTTAAACTCCATTTCTGTCTCCGTTCTCTCGTTTTATCCTCCATGCTTTTATGCCTCCTTTCTCTTTCTCTCTTTTTCCTTTATCTCAGATTTCTTAGCCTCTCGCTGTCCCTCCTACTCACTCTTTACATTTTCTCATGTTACACCCTGCATGTCTGTCTTTGTCACCCCTCTCACCTCCCCTCTGTCATCGGATCAGTAGAATTAATGGCTTTATTTCCATAGAATCGTCATGGTGATGAATCATGTCGTTAATCATCATATCGCCAGGGTGACAGATCATGTCATTAATCAGGATTTTTTTTTTCTTTGCTAAAGCAGCATGTTAAAGAACGCAAACCACACGATGGTGATTAGCAATTAACACAACTCTCTCCATCACACAAATACACACACACACACACACACACACACACACACACACACACACACACACACACACACACACACACACAAATACACACACACTCATGAGGCACCCTGCAGAGTTGGAGCAGAGCCAAGCGACTGTGTGAATTCATCTCTGTAAGCTTAATCAAACCGTCACGTGTTAGATGAAAGCACACACACAAGCATGAAAGTCCATGTTACACACACAATGTGACTCCACACACTGTTTTCACAGAGAAATCAACATGTCGAGTTACACAATGTCTTGAAACTCATTCATTTTTCCAACATTAAAACTTAGTCCGCATTATTACCTAACGTACTGGCTTCATGAATTTGCATGAAATAAAATAATAGATATAAAATAATAAAGTATAGCTGGCTCTACAAAATTCGCATATACTTGGTTTGTGAGATATTCTTAACTGTGGGTTTTTGAGCTGGATCCATAGACTGTATATACTATGGACAACTTGGTTCCGCCTTCCGCCAGTAGACGAATTTGAAGCCAAGAAGCTCTCTGTAATTCCGCGTTTTTGCTCCACGTCCTGAAACCAACATTGCGCAGTAGCGTTGTACGCATTCGGTGGGAGAGTCGCAGAGAGTCACTGTGATGACGCTTGGCTCAAACAGTGTATCCCCGGGGTGAGCTACGCAATCTTCGTACACCCATAGGCTGTATCAAGTGTCAATCACAGAAAACATGAACCCCATAATGACTTTTAAAAACAGAGCTGTACAGAAAAAAGAGGACTTGAACACAAACCAGTCTTACTATAACTACATGTCAACATCGCAACCAGGGGGAGAAAAACATTATATTCTGTGTAATAAATTACTAAAATTTGTCCACATCTCCATAAGCTTTGCTGGCAGAAGCGGGATTTATGACCTATACTGCAGCCCGTCAACAGAGGGTGCTGTTCTCGGATTGGCTTCACCCAGTGAAGAGGCAGACTTTGTCCATTCTATATACAGTCTATGGCTGGATCGGACAAGGGAGGATATCTTACAAGATTCATCCAACCCTGACCAAGCCCACGATAAAGCGAGACTCAGTTGTTTGGTTGACCCAGATCAGTTTTATGAACTCACGAGTCAGCAGAGTCATTATAGAGCATTGTTGCCCTCCTGCTGTTAGACACTGGGCAAACACCTCCCTGTAATTGCCCCTGACTCATCGGGGATGACCCAATCGTTATGAGACCTGTTTGATATTTTCATCAGACGCCCTCTGATGTGAGCAAGTGAACAAGATGAGTTGTCACTCTGATCGACCTGAGCGAGGAAATTAGACTGGACATCCAGGGACAAAATTATGTCTCCTGGGCGGCTGGATTTACAAGGTCTCCTCAGGTGCACTCTCGCAAGGTTTCTGCGAACACTCAAGATGATGTGTGTGTTTCCTCGTAAAAAAGTATCCCCCAGTTGACTTTGATACCCTCTTTGAATCTGTTCATCTCCTCTATTTGTCCCAAACTTCTTCTAGGTCTTATTTCACATCCAAATGCTGGCTAAAATTATAACAACAAGCTGCCCTGTGCGCGCACACACACACACGTGTCTGACAAAAGCACACACAAATACACATTGAGAGGCTTTTTTTCCCTGAATGATCTCAGATGAATTTCATCTGAGATCATTGCTTCATTAGTGAAGCTCTAGTTGTTCAGATTGATTTAATTATCAAATCATCTACGCATTCTGTGTGTGTGTGTGTGTGTGTGTGTGTGTGTGTGTGTGTGTGTGTGTGTGTGTGTGTGTGTGTGTGTGTGTATGTGTGTGTGTGTGTGTGCATGGGAGAGAGACAGGGAGAGATTATGCAGTGATCTTGGCTGACATTGATCAGCCTAGTCTAATTGGGAGCATCTAGCCGTGTAATTGATTCTGCTACACTTCACAACTAGATGAGTTTAGCAACATCAACAACACTGATTCACGCTGATGAACAGAACTACACTGAACCGCACTGATCGGAGCCAAACTGAACTGAACCAAACTAAACTGAGTTAACCTGACTGACAGAAACAAACAACTGTAACCAGATCTGATAATGTTGCTGCTTGTGTTAATTTACCTCTATGACCATCCTGCGCTGGTACAGATGAGTTAATGCAAATACATGTTCATACGCGTACGTTCATACGTTCTGGTATATTGTTGATCACATGGAAACACTTTTTTACTTGTATGTTTTTACTTTACAAAGTTTGAGGCACATCTGCAGCTCTGGGTTAGCATCTCCTCATTTCAATAGTTATGTATGCCTCAACCAACAATGCAAAACAGCCTATCTAAAACCATCATTGATACTTACACCATACCATAGACTAAGTGAAAGAGTCTCCGACTGGCTGGAGGAGGTACATTAGTTTTGGAGAACTGTATAGCAAGTGGTAAAAAGTGGAATTAGTCACTGAACCTTACCTGTCTTGATTTTACATGAATGGCCAAACCAGGGGCGCCAAGTCCAGCTTAACAGAGTCTATAAAAAGTGTAGTGTAGAGAATGATGCTGGATTTGTATTGGTCTTATTTAGAGTAAATTCATGCTTTAAAACACTGGTGTTGTTTATGATTGGTGGGTGGCCCAATAGCCAAGCCCTCTTTTTGAAAACAGTGGTTGTTTTTGGCAGTGAGCCATGACTAATAATATCCAGCTGTATGAAATACTACAACAAGCCAAAAGCCTGAGAACAGCTAATCTGAAAATTACAGCTGTAATCTTTTATATGTTTGAGGAACAGAAAAGTTTCAATTTGAGGTTAACGGCTGACTTAGAGAGAAAGAAGAAGAGAAGATAAAAACAACTCAGAAATTAAGATGCTAAACTAGTATGTTGAGGGAATTTAACAAAATTGAAGAAAACAGACATGAAGAAACCAAAATGAGTATATACTGTATATTTCAGTGTTACAGGACTGATTGAGTCAGAAGAACAGACTTTAAATGTTATGAGAAGGATGACCCTCTACAGGTGCCGCTGTTACTTCATCTGCTGTGACTGCTCATGAAAAACTGCTAATTGTTAGATTTACAGTGAATGGAAACAGAAAATAAGATGTGATTTATAACAGTTGAGCAGACTAGACTTAAATATGAATTTAGGGATTTGATGTGAATTAAACCTGCAAGGCTGATAAGTATAACAGTGCCTTAGAAGAAAATCAGTGGTTATACAAACTTATCTGCATAAATAACTCATCTTTACATCAATAAATTCTTCTTTGGATCAACTTGAATCAGTCTTTTTGAGTCTTTAGTGGGTGGCTTGATAATTAGTGGGATGTCTAGTAAACCAATGTACACATACAGTGACCACATCCTTACTTTACCCTCAAGTAGAAGTAACAAAAACTATCACTCTAGAACATAAATGTACTGTTTGTGCATTTATACTCTGTTGGGGGTATATCTAATATTGTTAACAGACTGTAACAACTACATGCAACAAATGATCCCCTAGGGATTAATTTGGAGTCAATAAACCTTGAGGGAAATAATGAGACAGAGAAGGATAACGATAAAACAAAATTAGATGAATAGAATTAAAAAACGGAGAAATGAGATATGTCTCAGTGCCAGTGTTCACATCTGCTTTACGAGTTTGGAAGAAAACGTTAGAGTTGCTTCGTGTGTTTTTGGACAGGGAGGGCTGAAACTGTCTTTTCATGAGGCTGCCATCTTTGTGCACCTGGTCAATTTGAATGAAAAATTACCTGGGCAGGAGGTAAGTACACTGGCAGGTCAGCACAATGCCGGGAAAATGGTGTTTATGCGAATGCCAACGTCAGTGTGTGTTTGTGTGTGAGTGTGTGTTAATCTGTGTGTGTGTGTGTCCTGAGGATTAGTCATGCTCCTCTGCCTCTGCAGCACTGCCTTCTTCCTGCCTCACACACACATACACACACACACCTGCATCCATCTGGCCGGTCCCCTCTGATAGCGGAGGTGTGAAACAGAGAAAATCAGTCGACTGAGGGAAACAGAGAGGGAGAGGAAGAGGAGCAGAGGGAGGCAGAGGGGGGGCGCAGGAAGTAGGAAGAATGAGGGAATATTAAAGGAGAGATGGAGGGGAGGAGGAGGAAGTAAGGGCTGAGGAAGAAAGCAAAGGTTGGAGCGGAGAAAGAGTGGGAGAGTGATATTAAACACCAGGGAGCTAACGGAGCAAATTCAACAGCCCACTCTTTCTTTTTCACTGCCTACCTCTCTTCACTTTCCCCAATTTGACCCCCCTCCGCTGACTTACTTTCCTTTCCTCATCTGTTTCTTCTCTTGCTTCCTACTCTCCTAATTAGCTCCAAATCCTCTTATATCTCCCGCTCTGCTCATCTTCCTCCTCTTCCTCTCCGTCTCTCCTCTCAGCACAAAAAAAAGGGAAAAATCAGGTTGACCTTAATGAACAGATGAAGAGAGGAGGGGAGCGATTGCATCGAGGGAGCTGGGGAAAGCCTGCATCAGCGCTTTCTGGATCAGCGTTTGTTTACTCAGGACTCCCCCATGTGAAGCTGTCAGAGTGTCTTTTTGCCATTTTTTTCTCTTCTGAGGCAAAACTATTAGGCTTAAGGATCATTTGGATGTTTTTAATCTTTCTCTGCTTTATTAAGAGGATGAGTGGGAGGGGAGGGTTTATTGTTTGCGGTGTTTACTCAGTGTCTGACAGCATTAAGTGACATGAGAGACATAAGAGGGCTGGGGGGAGACGACACAAACCAAAGACCACAAGAAAGACTTGGATCCGTAATATATTATTAATGTAAAATGCAAACAACCAGCCTCATGTGCCACTGAGCAACCTAAATATCATACATCTGAAAACTTTTAGGGAGCTTCCACTGCAGCACGTATTTACAAATCTACCTAAATCACCCACTTCATTATTAGCTGTTAGAATTAAGACAGAGCTGACTGTACCCTTACAAGTAAGCCAGAAGATGCTGAGATGCAGATTGTCATGTTTTAAGAAGAAAAGGCAGAATGTTGCCTGACTTATGTTGTAACGTCACAGTTGTTGTTATATGTTTACTGCTACAAGTGGACACAGGCCCTTACCCCAAATTTCCACCGCATCCGGAACGGCTCAGATTTGGAACCTCAGCGATTTTTGCTGTCCGCCAATTCCTACCGGATCTGTTTTTGAGGCGAATTTTGTGAACTCACAAGAACCTGTGGCTTCATGTGCAATCGCGCGATTTCAACTTGTCTCTATAAAGACAGCCACATAACCATAAAAGCAGAAGATTGTGTTCCTCCAAGAGGAGGAAATCCACTTCTAGACTTCTAAAATCAGCATCTCCTTGTCCATGGTGTCATAGGGATGAAATGCTGTCTATAAACCTTTCACTTGTTCGTCCCCGCCCGTTTACATGGTGTGAAATACGATCTGCCTGAAACACGTTGTGTTTTATTTTGAAAAGACGCCGGATGCCACTTCACAACACCTTGATGGACCAAACGGTCATTGGTGGTGGACGGCTCCTCTCTCTTTGCTGCAGGACAGAAAGATTCAGAGGATCTTTTGTACCCACAGCCATCAGACTTTACAACTCTTCTGTAAATGGTAGATGACTTTTAGAGACATGACAAATGAGATGACAGACAATTGAATTTCCCTAAAGTTCTTCTTATTCTTATTCCTATGTTTTATTTTGTGTCTGTGCTCGACTTCCTTTCCAGCACGGACTCATCAGTATTGAATTTATCCGGCCTTGCAATCAGATGCAGAGTCCGCCGATCCGCAGCGAACGGAAAGAAGCCGGTGGAAATTGACACATTGACTTGAATGGTTACGATCAGCTGTGATCGGCGGATACGGCCTTTTCTTAGCTGTTCCAGATGCGGTGCAAATTGGGGGTTAGAGACACAGATATATTAGCGTTGTGACTCTGTTGCCCTAATCCCCCAGTTTGTGTCTTGAGTTTGTCTGATAATCAATCAATCCACAAACCTTCTTGCGTAGACTTTTTGTAGACTTTATCACTCTGTGTGGAACCACAACATGGGACTCATGGGAGCCATGTTGTGGTTCTGGCTGGTTTTACCTCAGAAAATGACAGACAGCATCTGAAAGCACCATTGTGGCACACTGTATGATGTGGTAAACTGAAATACATGTGTATAGACATCAGTTAGGGATCGCATTATGACCATTATGACTGCAATCTAATGCTATCCAGTTTGACAGTAAATGAGAGGTTTACGATTTAGATTAAAAAGACTCTTTGTACATAAGAGTGAACACAGTAAAGCTTTAATGAGCTCAAACTAAAACAAAATTGTCCTCATGTGTCATATTTCTTGTCTGTTTTGTTTCCCCTGAGCTGTGGTTTCCAACTTTCTATGCACAGCAGCTTAAAAGTGAATATTTTAATAACTTAGATTCTCCAGCTTGGTTTACAATCATTTTAATGGTCACATATTTTCCCTTTCTACTGAATCATCAGTAACATCAGGTTTGTGTCAGCCTGTCTGAAGGAGAGAACAAAGATTTCTGTCTGGATTCCAGATTTTTTACCAACATTCGCCAATTATAGAAAGAAATCTGTTGTAGCACCAGCAATCACAAAACTTCCCCACCAACAACTTGCCAAACACAGACAGAAATACAGAGTAGCAACATCTTGCTGCATCTGTGGATGTGTCATCCCAACTCTGTGTCGAAACATCAGAATATGACAATTTAGGCAACAAGAGACGACACACAACACCAACATGTAATTTAAAGTCAGAATACACCGAGCAGATACTTTTAGTTTCAAGCATTTTACCACTACTTTTTTTTTTTACATTTTTTTTCATTATAGCCCATTACACACATGCACACATTACAAAGTCTAATACATACAGGATCCATGTTGAGCGTGTTCCGTATTTGCTCCGTAGAGCAGCACTGGGTATCACATAAAGGATGCATATTGCGAGCGTGACAGCAGCGTAGTGCAGCCCTGGTCAGCTGGCCCAGTATAGAGGAAAACAACATGCTTACAACAGGTTGTTTTTCCCTTCTGTGGTCTATTTCCTGCTAGTTTGAATGTAATTCAGTGACCGTTGAGCCTCGACTATATGTGAAAAAGCAACTAGATTTTACGGATTTTCGGTTTTTGCAGGTTTACTCGTGTTTAATAAAGTAAAATATGTTCCTTTATGCTGTGCTGTTACATTTAGACAGAGTTAGCAATTAAAAGTCTTGTTGGGGGTCCACATGGATCAGGGATTGACCATCAGATTGCTCTGTGTTACTGATAAATCTATAACCAGGAAGTATTTCTCATATACACAAACTGATACACAGTGGGGAGTCTGCATATGGTGTTTTATTTTAAAATACCGGATGATATGTGCAGTTTTAGTGCTTTTTGTGGATTGACACGCATTGAAAGTGTAGAGCAGCAAAAATAGACTTGTCGCGTATCTTTAGCAGTGCTGCTCTCGATACGATGCTGCGACAGAGCTGATACACGTCCTGTAAGCTTTGCTGCATTGATTAGGATGGCTACCTATTCACTGGGGATACATGACGCTCCTGATATGGGCTCAATACAGATCCTGTATGTTTAAGCCTTAAGGTGCATGTGTGAAGGTTAACAGTCAAATCACATGACCTTA